AGAATTACACAAACGTGGATTCAAAGCTGGTACATGGAACTTTTTTGAGTCAAGCCGTGGAAAAGGGGCTCCTGATGGTGTGGTAGGAACGTTGACGAGAAAGGTGGACAGATTGGTGGCTAAGGGCAGTGATGCACAGGAGCTTTACAAAGGCCTCCATGAGACAAACACGTCAGTGAAGCTGTTCTTTGTGAAGAGTGCCGATGTTGAACGTATGATGGAGATGATGCCAAGCCCGATAAAAGCAGTGCCCTCTACCATGAGAATACACCAGGTCATCACCCTTGCTCCTGGTGAGCTGATGTCTCGTGATGTCAGCTGCCTTTGTTCAACAAAGAAGGACCTAAACTGTACATGCTTTAACACACAGCACTTCAGTTTCAGGCAGAAGGTCCTGGCTGCTCCAGAACAGCCAGTCAATGAGGAAAATCCACAACCTGTGGATGTAATCCAGTGGGGAAATCCTGGTCTTCTTTGGCAGTGGTGTGTAGTGGAATATGATGATGACCTTTATCCAGGCATCATCCTCGGGACGGATGAAATGAGTGTACAAGTGAAATGTATGCATCGTGTAGGACCAAACAGATTTTTCTGGTCTTCTCGAGACGACATCTACTGGTATCAGTTTGATGAAGTCCTTGAGATGATTCCACCCCCACAGCGTGTGACATCCCGCCACGTAGAGGTTGAGATAGATGTGTGGCCCAGACTCTCAGGAAGAAAACCATGAATGAATGAATATGGTGCTCCTGAGAAGAAGGATAGTCATGGTGACACTAGTGCTGTAGTTAAAGCTGTTCTAGTATTCTAAATGCCTTTGGAACATTTTCCTACAGTTTGATGACACGTTGAACTTTTCTGATGAAACCTGTTGAATGTTATTAATTACCCTAATGCCTGATGTGTTTTTATTTGTTTTGGTATTTACTGCAGTTTGGTTAATAAAACCCAGATTATTCTAAATATGTCTCATGTCTTTATTACATAGATGCATACAATGACATGCAATGTTTTGGGGTAAATCTTGGGAGGGATTTTGATAGTAAACTAAACTAGTTTATATGGAAACCGATGTGTCTCTTTAACCCCGTTACAGTATTCAACCCCGTCACATGACAATATTTGTTAAATAAAATGGCAAAGATGAATAAATATGAATTTAATGTTTTCTGAGCTCAGTCTGAACTGTTAAGGACAGTCCCAAGAAGATTAGATTTATGTTAAAATACTGAATTGAAAGCATTTTTTTATTTAAACGATGAGCCCGCTGACACATAATGTCTCTATTTCAGGGTTTAATACAGCAAAATACTAAGATTTTACATACATTTTATATTTATAATAATTTAATTGTTTTGGGGGACATATGAACATTAGGTAAATGTTGATTTTATAACAAGTATCTTTTATAATCATATTCAGACAACTTCCATATTGTCTGTAAAGGGGTTGAAGACAAGTGGTGTCCATATCAGACAGAAATGGACAACAATAAAATGATTTTAATACCTGAGGCGGGCAAATATGTTTTCTTGAAGGTTTAATATGTACTTAATGTTGTGGGGTGTTCAGAAAATGCATTTATTATAGTAGAAAATAACGTTTATTAAAAAATATATATTACCGCAGCCCAAGAATGACCCACATGATGGTAACACCAAAACTTTTTCATAAAATACAGTTTAAATACCCGGAAAAGTCACACGAATGTCTCATGTGAAATGAATGTGATCCCATGTGATCACACATGAAATGTCACCCAAAAACATACTCACACATATGAAATAGAGTATATCCATTCATTATAACGTTTTATTTTTCTAACAACCCACTCTGGTTGATGGCTGAAGATCTAGTGAAGAAGATCTGGGAACTAGTAATGTAACTGACTACTGGCATCTGCTGGTTGGAGAGGGAACATTGTAGAGCGATCGTTCACAGTAAGATTTTGGCAGATACCCTTGCAGGTTTCAATTGTGGATAGGCTATATTTTCAGCCAGCCTTTTATCATGCAGACAGGCGTACGAAGAAGACGTGTTACTGTGAAGTAAAAGGCCATTTAGCACTTTACCTTTTATAGAAATAATTGTATACAAATTAAATAGGCTATAGAGTAGAGAGGTCTTTGTCTGCATTGATACATAAATTGTAAGATTTCACTGAAGTCCTATTTTCTACTTTGTGGTTAAGTCACGCACGGAACATTAGGCCTATATATTGTGGTCAAAATATGTTTAATTTACTTTCAACGTGTATTTCCATTACAGTTTTTTTCAATTGCTTAAGCACAATTTTGAAAACAGGGCCCGGTTTTTCAAACCCCTTCACACAATTAGCACAACCCTACACCAAAGTAGCACAACACATTTACATTTTAGTCATTTAGCAGACGCTCTTATCCAGAGCGACTTACAGTTAGTGAATACATTTTTTTTTATACTGGCCCCCCGTGGGAATCGAACCCACAACCCTGGCGTTGCAAACGCCATGCTCTATCAACTGAGCTACATCCCTGCCGGCCATTCCCTCCCCTACCCTGGACGAATTGTGCGCCGCCCATGAGTCTCCCGGTCGCGGCCGGCTGCGACAGAGCCTGGATTTGAACCAGGATCTCTAGTGGCACAGTTACCACTGCGATGCAGTGCCTTAGACCACTGCGCCACTCAGGTCATTTGCAAAATGGAACACTTTTGTCAAAACTATACAATGTCTTATAAAAACCTTATTTTGTTGTCATAACATAAACCCAACCATCATATGGTCTGATTCTGTTTGAATCAATTAAACACTCCTGTGCTCAACACTTTTAGCATTTACACAGAGAAAGTGTAAAAATAAATTCACCAACACCACATGACACCAATTGTGCAGACTAATGAAAATATGTATTTATTTTCATGTACTCAAGTCAGTCAATACTGAACATTTCAACAAAACATTCATAACAAAACATTTTCCAGTTTTCATACAGTATTACTGAACGTACCATTGTACTGTAAGCTTACAGTAATACTGTAACATAAATTACATATCCAGTTCAGTACCGAATAAAAAAGAAATATAACCTAAACATCTCTCCGCCTAGCTGGATCTGGCCACAGGGCCTCGTCAACATCACAGGCTATATTTTCATTTGCAAGGCAACGTGGGAAGAATCTTTTGGAGTGACGAATCCACCCTTGTATGGATGCTGCTTCAATTTGATCACATGCTTCCACCATAGCTTGAATGAGGGCCATCTGGACATAGGGCCGGAGATCATAAACCTTCCACCGCCATGCTGAGAAGAACTCCTCGATGGGGTTTAGGAAGGGGGAGCGTGTTGGAAGGTATTGAACTGTGAATTGTGGGTGTTGATGAAACCAGTTTTGGACCAGAGCAGAATGATGGAAAGCTACATTGTCCCAGACGACAATGTATTGCATCTGGTCCCTTTGGTTTGCTGCTGTGATAATATTGTGTAATCTGTCTAAAAATGTAAAAATGAGGTCAGTGTTATAAGGACCCAAGTTGGCATGGCGGTGGAGGACCCCATTCTGTGTAATGGCAGCACAAAGCGTAATGTTACCCCCACGTTGCCCTGGTACATTGACAATAGCCCTGTGGCCAATGATGTTTCTTCCCCTTCTTCTCACTGTTGTCAGGTTAAATCCAGCCTCATCAATACATATAAACTCATGCGGGACTTCCTCCGCGTCCATTTGCAAAACTCTCTGAAATACAGCAAAAGATCACATTGTGTAGATCAATTTACTGTAGGTCTGCTATACAGTCAAATTACATGTACAGTAAAAAGGTTATGTGTGCAGTACACAATACTACAGTCAGTGAACAGAACGTACCACCACATATTCACACCGCAGGCCTTTCACCCTGTCTGAATTTCTTTCAAATGGCACTTTATACAGTTGTTTCATCAGAACTTGATGTTTTTTAAGGATACAGGCTATTGTTGACAGAGAGACCTGTTGGACATTATTGAAAATTCTGTGATTATTGACAATATGGGCTTGAATTTCTCTAAGTCTGATTGCATTATTGGCCAAAACAAGGTTTATGATGTCTCTCTCTTGCTCCTGTGTGAATATGGGGCTCCTTCGTGTTCTCGACGTTCAATCCTATGTTGGCCAAACAAAATACATGTAGCTTACTGTAAAATGATACAGGAATAGATAACAAAACTTTTGATATAGTACATGCAGTAAGCTATGGATTTTCTGTTGACAGAAGATACGTTTCTCACCTGTGCTCTTGACGAAATGTCCGAACTATTGATGCCACCGTGTACCTGCTTAGGTTAGGCTGTACTCTCAGTCCAGCCTCCCTCAGTGTTAGTCCGTGGTTTATTACATGGTCCACGATTGTACAACGAATTTCGTTACACAGATTTGGTTGTCTTCTTCTTTGTGCATGTCCTACCCCTCCTCCAGGTCTTCCTCTCCCACTCCCTCTTCCTCTTCCTCTTCCTCTGACACTGTCAATTTTTTTTTAAGACAGGTGAACTTACCTGTTGCCTTTTTAAAGTGCTTAAACCTGATTGGTGTGTCTACAATTAAGCACCAGTGTGTGTGCACACCTGGTGGCTGTGTTTAACCAATTGGTTCATGGGTGTGTTCATTTGAAAGCCTTTGCTTTGAAATTGCAAGGAAATGACATCATGATACATTTCTGTGTCAAATGCATACAAGTGTGTTTAGTGTTTTGCAAATCACTGTGTGTAATGTTTTGCAAAAAGTGTGAAGCTGACAATGTGCTTACAGTTGTGCAAATCTAGGCCGGTGTTTTGCTCCTTGAGTGTAAGGTTTTGCTAATTGTGGGAAAGTTGTAATTTGAGTGTGTAAGCAATTGAAAAAAACTGTATGTTCAGCCTATTAGTAGTGAGCCTGCCTCCCTGGTGCCTTTTCAGCACCATGGACAAGAGCCATTAGGAGCGGTTCAGCTCTGCTAAGCCTTTTTCGCGGTCGGCACCATTAGAAACAACAGAGGGGTAACATCTCAA